AGGAGTGGAGGAGCGTAACTACTAAAATATTAGGTAGACGCGAAAGTCTCAAGACGCAGGGATGACCGTTCAGCCATTGCCGCCCTCGTGACGTTACCACATTCTAGAGCAGACTCAGAGTTACCGCCATTCAAGTAGGTCCCCGGGTCTCTGGCAAACCATTGGTCGCAATTGTCGAGAGATCAAGTTGAGCAATGGCGTCATGGCTCCAGCGCTCTATGCTGCCATAACATCAGCACTACATTCGTAGAGGACCTCGTCAGCCAGGAGACCGTTAGTCGTTTACTCGCTCGCTCTCAGTCAGGAGATACGATTCGACGCTTGGCCATATCATTCACATCAGTCGACCAGTTGCTATCGATGGTGTCATACCTTCTCAGCGAAGTGAAGAGAAGCCGGACGCTACGAGCAGGGAATTGGTTCTTCAGTACGGTCAAAGGAAGGCAGTTCAACATCTCAGAAGCACGGCTACTGGAGAATCCGCTTCAGGAATTCAGGGACTCCGTACAATCTGAGGCCACTCGCTCTTCCTCCCCCAATCGTTTCTCCAGGATGTGGAGAGGGGAGGTGAGAGTTGGATTTTCTATGACAACAAGAAGAGGGTCCCTGCTTCTGGGACTTGGAAGGAATACTACATGTACGAATTGCTTCCTCAAGGCCAGATAGTCAAGGCTACCACCAACAACAGTCAGCCCCAGGAGCTTGTTCACTTGAAAGCTCGATCCCACGTCGCAAAGACCACGCAGTCCAAGTCACACGAACGTGACTGGAATGCCGCTCCGCACCTCTCCATTTCCCTGACTCCACCCCATTTGACTATCACCTTTTGGGCATCTCAAGTAGTTCCTGGCAAACAGGAAGTTCACCATTTTTTGCGAACTCAAAAATGGTGGGCTGACTTCTATGACTCACAGTCCTCCTCTTTTTGGGAGAGGGAAATAAGCGACTTCGCTCGCTCGTCGGAAGAATTCATAGATAATGGAGACGATTATGTAGTTGAATGAGTAAGAGTTCAAATAAAATCATGAAAAAATTAACATGCAACCGATCCTGATTGTTTCAAGACCTTCACATCAACCCAATAGTAAGTTTTACACGTTGTTCCCGCACCCTACACGAACCCCAAATACAGGGGGCAAAAAAAGACATTTTGCCCAGGTCGCACTTCGGCCTTTTTTCTTCGCAGAGATTGCCGTCGTTGACGGAAGTTCCTCAGCAAAATATTCCCTAAATGTCCCTCTATAAGTACACGCAGGCCCTCCTTCACTACCCTCACCGTCTTCAGAATATGACGTCATCTGTCACCGTCGTCGAGCTCAGGGAGGCCTACAGTAACTGCTTCAGCCTGAAGCTCTTACATAATTTCTTGAATCGATTCAACGTGGGATAACTTCCTAGGGACATTAGCTCTAACTATGCAAACCCCTCAGAACCCGCCCTTCGGAACCCGTCGTAACGGTACACGATCAGTCGAGAACCCCACTGAGCTCGACCAGAGCACCATGTTTTCGGGGCAAATTTTCCTGATGCCGTCCACGTAGATGGCCACTATGAAGATTTTCTTATGCGAATGAAATGCGCTCTTCAATTCTGAGTGGGCTGCAGCAAAGGTGATTAAATCCTAAATGATCGGAGACAAAACTCTATTGTTATGCCCCGCACCCCCCCCTCCTCATACCAGGTCACAACATCCCACCTATTCGTCCCTCCATCTTTCGTAGTAGTATCACCGGATTGTCAATTCTGTTTCAAAGGAAACAAATGGATCGCCACCGGTTCAAACGATGCATCAGCGTGTTTCATCGCAGATTCGATGACGCATGCTCGTACCACTCGAATTGCTAGGTGCGGTGTCATACTTTGGTTCGCAGACGCAATTTCTCAAAATCACTGCAGATTCCGGATTCAATCGGGGATTTGGTCTTTGAATGGACTGTATATGCTAGTTGCTCCGTTTGTCACTTGGCTACTTTCGTCCCAACCCTCATCTTGAGGCGATCGACGAAATTTCGTATTACACCAGAAACGAACAGTAACATACAGGTGCAAAAAAAAAGACACTTTGTCTCATCGCGCATCATTCATCCAAACCCTTCTCGCGAGTGTACGTCGTTGAATGCACAGTTCTGAGCAAAATGATTTCAAGATGTCCTCTAATATGGTACAAGGCAGGAGGCCTCACCATACAGCCCCCACGTCCTCCAGCATATGACCTCATCTGCTATCCGCCACGAGACTCAAGGGTCTACCGCAAATGCGCTTCAGCGCGAAGCTGCTACATAATTGCTTGCAAACGTTCACTGAACGTATTGCTTTTTAGGACAAAAGCTCTTGAATGTGCAAGTCCTTCAACAGTTTAAGATAAGGTCATAATGGTCTATGGTAGTCGAGGACCAGTCGAGCTCGAACAGTGCAATGTTCCCATGGTTATTTCTTGTGATGTGCTTAGTGCAGAAAGCTAGTGTGACGTAAATTGAGAGATCGGAGAGTGCCTCAAAATTAAAGCGAGGGATTACGATAAGTTTGGACTGGGTTCATAGTGGAAGTGGAGATGCTGAATAATGCCCCAGTGGCGAAAAAAGCAAAGAAATCCGTCAAGAAGGCGCAAAATGGGACCCCTTTCTTTGCCCGTTGACCTCCGATAATGGACGAGCTAGCAACCAATTAGGAGGTCGTTTGCACATGTTATGCTGATAGCCTCTATCATTTCAGCAAGCATCATGCTTTGATTGATCACGCATCCCATGAAAAGTTATAGGATACACTCTGGAAGTGGAATATCTCGTCACATTGGCAATCGAAGGGCGCTGCTGCTGGGGGCGGAGCACAGACCGTGGCGGGGCTCAGAAAGGAATGGCAAGCCTTGTACGCTGCAACTAGCGCACCTTTGACCACAAAAACGCAACATTTCGTTTCCTTGGGCCCCTGACTACTGCTTCCAATGGTGCATGTACTTCCACGCTGCATACGCACTTTATCGTAATCTCTCGCTTTAAGTGGGCAGTTACTTTGTTTCAGGAACGTTGATGCTCCGTTTGAAACGTGAATTGTCTCCTTTTTGCGACGCGGAGTACGCTGGCCCTTCAATTTCATTCTATATGGTATTATAGAACAGCTCACCATAGGTGCCTTTATGATAAGTTTCATATACATGGATGACTGCCAGTCAAGAATATACCATTCGTTAGCGTTCAGAGAGCACGACACATAATCCTGGAAATGCTCAGCGTATGAATCGCAAAAGTGATCAGAATTCTCAAATCTGAAGTTTTTTTCTCACCGCGTATGTGGTAGGCAAATAATTGAAGGGGCAGTTTGGTTCAGACGCGTTGAATCGCAAAGTCTTGCTGAGCGGGCCGCCACGAGCTAGTACCTGAAATGTGCTGGAGCAATAGGCACTTAATATTCAAAAATACTCTGTTAGCCCATTGAAAATAAGGGTAGAGGTGGTCAGTGGAGAAGAGGTCAAAGAAGAACTATGTGACCGCCCAAAACCCGAGACTGGACCTATCCTTGCCCGTACGACTAACGCGATCCATTGCAACTCTCGTGTGGCCCTCCTCAACACTACGCTCTCTTTGCTATCTAATCACTCGCCACGTATAGACCTGCTGCGAGTGATTAGATAGTCGTTGGGCGTGCCCCGCCAACCGCGCCAAAAACGAGCCATGCTAGATCGCCAAGGTCAAATCTTTCGCTGCCATTCGCGTCGAAGGCCCGCTGTTCCCAAATGTGCAATTTCTCTTTGGACCTTCGTTCTTATTGCGAATTCCTCCTTCTGAGAACGGGAATGGAGTAGTGACCAATAGCGTAGACATCCACGCAGGTGACCCGCAGATCGAATTCTTGACGATACATCGTACAGGTCCACCAATCCTTTCACGCTTCCGACATCAATTAGATTTCGGCTTTTACAGAACTTTCACTTACAGGATCCCTGTTTGAATTTGGGAAATAGGTCAGGGAGCCGACAATCCAAGCAGGACCATGAAGATAATATTAGTCTGGTCATGTAGCAAGTGTAAATATCGATCCATTCTTACTAAGATTATTATTTATTGATGGCGCACCTTGAGTTCTTTACAACAAATTAATAATAAACATAATATATACTGCAGACTCGAGACCTAAGCGCACAATAAAAATAACTAAACGGAGAAGCGCGACAAAGCGCAAGGCACAGTGTTCCTTAGATCATCCCGTACCAATTTCATGATCACTTAGGATAATTCACAAACATCTGAACATCTTCAGCAGTACTTAGGGCTTACTGAAAAACTGGACAATAGCACTCATGTGCGGCCATGCTGCTGATGACTACCTAGAAGCAGCAACGTTTTTTCCCGTGCAGTCTTTTCTCAGGATTCAAACGCCTTTTAGGAACGCTCTCAACTGGCACCACTACAAGATTAATTCGTGACGAACAACGATCTCAGTACATACATTGGTCTGGATCAAGCGATCGATGTACAAATTGGTTTGATAACATCATTATGTTTCATGGTTCACGATTGATTGCTCAACGTTCCTTCCGTAAAAAGTTGAAATTCCACAAAATACTTGAAAGTAGGAAATGCTTACCTCAGATAAAGCGTGAGAATGTCGCGATAACACATACTGACATTCTTCGTAGGCACCAAAGTCTGGCGTTAGTCTGTACTCGCCTTGATAACCCTGTAAAATCTCGGATAAATCGGTGTTCCAAAATCATGAAATTGTCTTACCTGGAATCGAATCGACATGTCGAGCGCTTGTGACTTGCCTCCAGGTGAACATAACCGACGATGAGATGCCCACGGCACCTTGCCGATCCCTGACAAGATCTCGTTGAGACTTGGAAGATTTCACTGTGGTGCAGTATCGAACTGGGTGTGGAAGGTACTGAAAAAAGTGGCAATGATAGTTTTAAGTAATGCAGTAGTGTTCAAGAGTTTTCGTAGAAATATGGTCGTGTGCATTGCAATTATTTTTCACTCAAAAGGGGTTCAGTTAGTAGAAATAATACATAAGGAACTGTTTCGGGCAATATACTTTTCCAGTACTGTATCATTTTCCATGACGTAGCATCCGCTCTGGGCTGCGTAACACCATTCGCATAATTTACATAGCACTGAAGCACACGTGATATCGAATTTTATCAGGGGCCGTATCCAATCCTTCCCTCAGGGGATGCTGTCGGACTTCGGTACGCCTGTCTCTTATTTGACCCGCGTCGTAGCATGCATTAGCGCTGGGGTTTACGATATGCGCCGGGATGAAACCGCGCTCCATTCGAAGTCGCATGCGGTCTTACCGCGAAGCATGGAAATGCACTGGAAGCGCGGGAAAAGCCAGTCACGCGCGCAGTCGGTCGGTTCAAGTCAGTGTCGTCAGTGCAGTCGTCAACGCCGGTTCGTCTCGAAGTCAGTCGGCTGGACCATTCAAGCGCAGTTGGTCCATTCGTCTCGTCTACGCCGGAGAGCCATCTGCCCGGCATAAGTCGGTGGACCAGCGCAGTCGTCCTGACCCTAACCCTTGGGAATTACACGCAACATGCCGATCATGGTACCTTATTCTCTTCTTATCCTTCTTGTCATCAGGTATGCTTAGTTGTACATTTTTATATGATGTATCCTTTTCTTCATCGTAGTCAATCATTTATTGTCGGAATAGTTTAAGCCATAAACCGGTCTTCAATGCTCGGTGTAGTTATGTGTAAAGCGTAGTTGGTCAAAACCATCTTTATTTTAGTCGGTCAAAACCATCTTTATTTAGTTACAATCGTAGTACAATATATATAGCGCATAAACCGTAGCTTCTTAAGGGGTAAGGCCTTAACTGCCCGTGGCAAGGCGTCGCAGCATTCAGCGCGACAGGTAACCCCGCGAGGGTGTGTGGGCACCGACAACTCCCACGTTCTGGCGTGGTCCAGGTGCGCAGCCGCCGATGCTCGTTAGTCGGCACCTGGTCACGACAGATGCGCCCCCTCCTCGAATTCGATCCTCCCGCAGCTTTGGGGGAGACAAAAGGTTGCGTCATAGGACCGCCATACCTCTGTGTTTCTACCTGCCAGACAGTTAGAGCAGCGCGACTACCCTCCACTGATGAAGCACTCTTTTCCCTGGAGGGGTCGCGCTGCTCTAACTGTCTGGCAGGTAGAAACACAGAGGTATGGAGGTCCTATGACGCAACCCTTTTTGTCCCCCCCCCCCAAGCTGGGAGAGGATTGAATCAGAGGAGGGGGACGCATCCCCCTGGGGGAAGGATTGAAGACGGCCGCAGGCCCGCGTCACATGTACTACGGAGTGTGCAATTACGGCAGGCCTGGCCATTGGACTGGCCGAGCAACGAAAG